GGGTAGGGATTAATGAGTGGGGCTACATAAGCTACTGTTGCCCACGAAACTATCACCAGGGGTACAACAGGGAAATAAATTGCGTGAAAATTGCATCAAGAAAGACAGTGCGGACCCATGAAAAGAGGCTCGTAAAAGTTATTGATAAACAAAAAGGTTAGGGCTTTCTTGCGAGGCCGCTTTTTCTGTGCTTAATGATAAAAAAACTACTTTCACATTTTCAGGAGGTCGGATTTCCGTCTACTCAAACACTTCCTTGATTATATTGACCTATAGCAGTTGTTCTAGTATTGTTACTGGCCTATAGGCATCCTTCACTGACCAATAGGAGTTTATATTGGTCGATTTTATTTTTCCCGTATGCTTTTCACATGTATTTTAGTTCAGTAAAACAATTAAAAGTGGCTTTCATTTATTTCCTACTGTGCACTTATCAAGTACTACTTATGCTTTAATCAAGCAGTAAACTTTCAACCGCGGTTGGGCGGGAGAACTATTGCCATTAGGCCGCCTTACAGGAAAGCCTTACCGCAAAAAGAAGCAAATCGCTGAAACCAGTTTTAGATGACTGCATTTCTGACTTGCAATCGAGATCATTGGAATGACGAAAAGATAAGACGGGGCAGAGACCTGATGAATCTATAGAATGCGGTTGCTGCGCCACCACATGCCCGTTGGTTGAGAAGCCACGTTCGAGTCATCGATTAGCAAGCATTCACCGAGAGGGTTAGCAACTGGTTCGATAGCTTCCTGGCTAGCCAGCTCCGCCGTTAATCAACACCCCTCATTCCAAGTGTCGGCAATCGACGCGAACTGCCAATTTTGCTTTCCGCTACAACCCCCGGAACGTTGTTCATTTGCCTGCCCCTCTCCTCCCTCCAATATGAGCAAATACTCCGCCCGGATGGTTCGACTGTATCATGGCAACAAAAAAATTGCGGTGATAAAACAACTGCATCCAATAAATACCGGGTCCCCGAACTACCCTCGAAAGGTGGGTTTGAACACAAATCCTAGATGTTAGGCCAGGACAGTTCGTCACTTCCAGCATATTTCCTCTCTACGGCGTATGATAGGGCAAAAGCCGGACTCTTGCGCTCGCGAAGAAGTTATATTGGGTCGCCTGGGAAGTTGATTTGGTGGCGAATACTGCCCGCGACCAACAAGGAAAGTCTTAGTGAATACTTGTGCATACTCTTCTAAATTAATGGAAAAAATGTTTCCTTTGATCAGGTTGTGAAACACTCGACGGCCTCTGTGGAACCCACGCCAACAAGGGAAAGGCCTCAGTATAGTCAATGCTCTAGATATCTGTAATACAAGGCGCGGCCGGGAATCGTGAATTTAGTCAAATTGGGTAAAGTTACCCAAATCGGGTTCATTACAGGTAGAAATGCATCTGCGGTCTTCCGGGCCTGAAAAGATAACTGTGGTTTTTTAAGTTCAGGAATGAGATTTAAGCCGAAATGACCAAAATTTACCGGTTCCGATTTATAGTCTCGCTCAAATCCAGCTTCGGTGAAGGCCGAGAGACAGTCAAAGGCAATCAGCTGACGCCAAATCTCTGAGTATCGCGAGCCGGGGATGCCCTGGGAGCCGAATATGCAGAGGGCGGAGCAGGGCCACTGGTCGTAGGGGTGGCGCGAATAGGGCAGATGTTGCACCCAAAGCTGGTCAGATATAGTCTGCCAGTGGCGATTTTTGGCGCTGGCTGACCAGAGCTCCAGATCAAAGCGAGACTCGTACAGAGAACGCAGCAGAGGCAGTGCAACCATTCGACTAATGCCTTGAGTACCGGCTGAAACAGAGCATAAAAAGCAGTCAGTGGTAGAGTTTATCTGCCAGTAGTTTATATCTTAAAAACCAATCCGAGAGCCTGCCATGACCGTAGTAACTGTATAGGCGCCTTGAAGGAAAACGCTACATGTGTTATACTTTGCATTCTTCTGATATTTGAGGACACTAAACTCGGGTAAGTAAGTTGACTGATTGGGAATGCAGTGACAAAAAGTCGTGCGGAAAGACGGGATGTGTGTGTGTGTGTGTTCCTCCGATGAAAGGTAAGCTGCGCTCCTGTTCCTGTCCTACCTGTTCTACT